AAAGAAAGAAAGAAAGAAAGAAAGAAAGAAAGAAAGAAAGAAAGAAAGAAAGAAAGAAAATAGTTGCTGTGGTATCATGGCATCTCTCCACAGCAATAAAACCCTAAGACAGCCAGTTCTCCAGTTTTCCCTCAGGAAAGCAGGGAGCAAGTCACCAGCCAAGAGGGTCAGTGTCCTTGGTATCTGCTGTGTCAGTGGCAGCCTAAACACCCTGAGACACGCGCGTGCGCGCGCGCGCGTGCACACACACACACACACACACACACACACACACCTGCCCTAGAACATTTCCGTCCTTGTGGCTCAAACCCCAGAAGCCATAGTTGACCTTGGCCAGAGGAAACTTGAATGGCAATGCTGCCTGCAAATACTCAGGAGCATGCCTCTTGTGTGCTGTGTCCCTTCCATGTGTTCCAAGGTATCTGTGTATCAGCACAACCAGAACCTAGAGACACAGGATTCTGCGCATCATTTGCACACACGATAACCTCCCCCAGGCAGCCCTTCCCTTCCAGCTTCAGCATGATTCTGAGGAAGCTGTGTCTTCTTCCCAAAGGAAGTCCATCCACTGTGGGCCGAAGTTGCTTTCTCTGAGCCAGCACGATGGGCCTGTGCAGACGTGTTGGTGGTCTGCCAGCCAGACCACCCAGAGCAGTCACGCCTTGTGGGAAAGCCTTGTCCTTCCTTGTCTTAGTCACTTTTCCATTGCTGTGATGAGACCCGATGACCATGGCAGCAGGCAGACTGGAACAGTAGCTTAGAGCTCACATCTTGAGGGGCGAGCATGAAGTAGGGGGAGAGGCAAGCCCACCCCCAGTGACACACCTCCTCTAACAAGGCCACACCCCTTGACCCTTCCCAAACAGTTCCACCCAATGGGAACCAAGCATTCAAATATATGAATCAATGGGGACCATTCTTGTTCTTTTAAAAAGATATAGATCTGATTTGGCTCTACCATAGGGTGCTTTTGTAGGCTGCTCAAGACCTTAGGTTCAGTCCCCAGCGACAAACATAACAATATAAAAATAGAAAGAGTGAGAGTTTTGGAAGCTATGATTTAGGGTTTTAAGGTTTGCAAGAGGCAAGAAGGAAAATCCATTTAATGCAGTCTAGGAGAGATGAACCTATTTTGTCTCTCTAATGGCCAGTGTGAAAATGTGACCCCTGCCAAGTCCAGTACCAGCTTACCTCCCTGGTCTAGGGAACAGTCACTTCTCCCCAGATATAAGAGGAAGCAGTTGTACAGATGGTCTCCGATGCTCCAGTTCCCATAGTCTATAGCATAAACCTAGAATGTGACCTTATTTTCTCAATGATTAATCACCCCCCCAACTTCTTTAGAAACAAAGGAAATGCTGTCACATGCTGTGTAGAAAAAAAGAACTAGTCCATGAGTCTTGATTTCAGAAGCATGGAAAAGCATGCTTTAGGAAGCTACACCGTGTGCTATGATTCACAGAAGTGGGTGAATCATGGCCTTGAAAATAAACAACTCAAGAATGCATGGAGCCAGGTGTGGTGGCCACACCTGCAGGTCCAGACCTTGGGAGTTGGAGCCTGGCTGGACATGTCAAGATCCTTTCCCAAAGGATAAATACTGTGGAAATATTTATTGGGTGTAAATGAGAAAGAAAAATATTTGCACAATTTGATCTCACTTGCAGTGTAGATAGTCTATATGTCATCATTATACATATAGCATGATTATGATAGTTGTTCTCAAAACTACAAAAAAAAAAAGGTCAGTAACTGTTCAGAAAGAAACTCTCCAAAGGATAGACTATAAAACGTGTGTGTGCTTTTATAATTTTATGGGTGTTTTCTGCATGTGTATCTGTGCACCACATGCATGCAGTGCCTGAGGGGGCCAGAAGAGGGCACTGTATCCCCTGGAATGGGAGTTACAGATTGTTGTGAGCACCATGTGGCGCTGGGAGTCAAATCTGAGTCCTCCACATGAAAAGCCAGTGCTCTTAACTGCTGAGCCACCTCTCCAGTCCCAGGTGTATGGATACTTTTGGGATCTAGTATTATGTAGCCCAGGCTAGCTTCAAATCAATGTGTAGCCGAGGGTGACCTTGAAAACTTCAGATCTGCCTGCCTGCTTCCACCTCCCCAGTGCTAGCTGGGATATTATTTACAATTTTTTTTTCCTGTGAGAAACAAACAGACAAAAACCATGCTTGTTTGTCTTTTGCTTCATTCTTGAAATATGGAAAGACCTAAAGCATTTTATTTCTTGTTAGTCTTTTAGGAGGAGAGAGCTCCATTACACAGATTTGAAGTAAGTGAGCTTCCTGGGATGTTGTCATCCCTGGCTTCAAATATTAACTTAAAAGCCAGGTGTGGTGGCGCATGCTTGTAATTCCAGAACTGAAGGCAGGGGCCAGAGGGGTTGCTGGTGTGAGGTGAGTCTGGTCTCACAGATACACTGTCTATAACAATACCAAAACCCCTAACGGCTCCTTCCAGCAGAGGGAGCTCTCCTTCAAGCTCACACTGTCCCTGGTGTTTGTGGCTTGGGAAGAATGTTAAGGTTTCACTTCCACCCGGCTGGGAGGCACAAGCCCGCTTACTGGTTTGCTTGGTTTTAAATAAACTTTTCATTTTGGAATAATTTGGGATGTAAAGAATCTTTTTCAAAATTAGTTCAGATTTCCCATTTGCCCTTTGCCCAGCTGCACTGTTCACGTCTTATATAAGACGCTACATTTAGCAAAGCTAAGAAATGAACCCAGTATATTGCTACCAGCTGGACTCTAGGCTCTGTTTGGATCTCAGCAGTTTTCCACCAGCTGGATATGGTCCAGGACAGCACACTGCACTGTGAAATATTTCTTAAAGAAACAAGTGCACACTGACTGTAGCATGGCAAATTGCCATTTACATTTTGCATGAATGTCTGTATTTTGTAAGGGAAAGCAAAGCACTTTTGAATTTCGTTTCTCTTCTCATATTCACCACACTTTAAAGTTATGAAGCTTTCTCAGTCCCTACTTTACATCCTTTTAGTAAGCTGTACTTCTGCTCATGAATATTTTCCACATATGTTCCCCCAGAAGAATATCATTAAAAGATGAATATGGGGGCTGGAGAGATGGCTCAGTGGTTAAGAGCACTGGCTGCTCTTCCAGAGGACCCGGGTTCAATTCCCAGCACCCACATGGCAGCTCACAACTGTCTGTAACTCCATTTCAAGGGATCTGATACTCTTACACAAACATACATGCAGGCAAAATACCAATGCACATGAAATAAAAATAAACAAATCATTTTTAAAAAGATAGATATGGCTGAGTGCTGTCAACCCAGGGTCTCCTAGCCACTGTAGCATATCTGTGTTATCGCTTTGCTTCTGAATAATGTTTCCCCTCTACTTAGGGGAAAAAAGAGGTGAATGCTAACAGGGAGGAGGCAGGGGGAGAATAGGAAGGGACAAAGATGAGCAATAATTATATAGATATATGAATTTCTGTTATATAACACATTATAATTATATATGATATGTATATATCATTATATATAATATATAAATATATATTATGTATATAATTTCAACTTAAAAAAAAAGGAATGCTCATGCTCATATTGCCAGCACTGGGGAGGCTGAAGCAGAAGGATGAAACATTTCATGCCAACCTTTGTTACATTCTGAGAGCCCATTACACCAAACTGATTGATAACTGATTGAAAATTAAAAAAAAAAAAATGAATGGCAGCTAGGGACACAGTTCTGGTAGAACTAATAATGCTTAGGCCAAGTTTGGTGTCTCACGCCTAAAATCCCAGCTCTTGGGACTGCCACATGTTCAAGGCGAGCCTGAGCTATAATAAAAATTTAGGCTTAGCATGCACGAGGCCCTGGGTTTCATAAGTAGCCCCTCCCTGCAAAATAATGTGGAGGTTAAGGATGCTGCAGAAGTAAGCATTGTATTAGGTTTAGTCATGAAATTACAATTAAGACTTATCTATGGAATCATTCTAAAGTATTTGCATATAAAGTGGTTTACTTTAAAATACCAAAATCAGAAGACTGGAGAGCAGGCTGCCTCACTGGCATTCACTATTCTTTTGCTTTTGTGTATGACTAAAAACCATACAATTAAAGCATTTCAAAATGAACATTTAAAGAGTTGACCAAGCCAGGCATGTGATCATACCCTGGTAATCCCAGCATTTGGGAAGTGAAGGGAGGAGGATCAAGGCCAGCCTCAGCTACATGAGACCCTGTCTCCAAAATAACCAAATCAATCAAAGTGTTGAAAAGAAGCAGCTTTGTTTTCATGTGCCAATTACTTTCAATCCATCAGCTGCTCTGCAGTCTAACGGACACCCGCAAATAGCCTCTCGGCCATGATTTCTAGCTCTTGTGTCAGAAACACATGTCTCCCAGGCACCGAAGGAAGAGTTAGAGGAACGGAGCAGACAGTGCTTGCCCCTCCAGGAACTTGAGTCAGACATACTTGAGGCTTGGAGAGGAACCAACCATGCAATAAATGCTGAGTGAAAATGGATCTAAGCTGCTTGGCAAACCCCATATTTCAAGGTGGAGATTTTATTTGCACCCCCTTTCTTAGTTTTATGAGTTTTCATTGGATCATCTCCGCTATGTGGTTAATAAACAGAAAATTTACTGTTATTATTACTATTATTAGAACCACTAGCACCCATAATTTCTAATCGTAGTCATTGTTAAGTCTCTGTAAGTCACTTCTCCCAGAACCCGAAGCCCTGCATAACAATCACACTGTTTGGTTTTTGGTTTTGTTCTGTTGATCATTTAACTAACTCACTAAATTAATTACTCTGCCAGTAGCCACCACCTTCCTGCTTGCTGGAATGTTGTCCTTTCCCCCCAGACATCCAAGGCCCTGACTCCCAGCTCACAGAGCCGATGAGTTGACTCTGCTCTGTGGCAGGGGTGCCGTCTGTCCAACACTTTCTCTGTCTCTTTTTATCCCACAGCAGAAGTATTGGGAAGCCCTAAACTCGGAGCAGGTACGGACAAATGTTGGGTCTCTTTTGGGAGGGACATCCATGGCTTGATTTTCCATTTCTGCTTTTGTCAGATTCCTTTTGATGGAGGACATGACAATTCTTTTAGTTTGAAAAAAAAAAACAAAACAAAACAAAACAGAAAAAGGAATGATGTCTGTAGAGTATTTGCCCGGTACAGCTTGCTCCCAGTACTGCAAAGTAAATAAGTGAGAATTAAGAAAGACCAGGAGGCAAGTAGGGGCATCTGTGAGGATTTGGGGCACTCCCTTTTCAAAGTCTTTTCTATGCTAGGGAGGAAGTACTCAGACTAGAGCAGTTCGAGGTGGGAGGAACTTAGAGACATTACATGGAACACAGCGAAGAGACAGTCTTACCCGGTCTGTGAGCCAGGTACTCAGGGTGTGGCTGCAGCAGTGTTTCTGAGAACCAGCCACATGTTGGCTACTGTCTTTCTGAGACCTCGTGCACCTGGCAATCTCCTCACTTGCAATAACAGATAAGTGTATTTTGTGGCAGGCACCTGTGCCTGTCACAATCACCCAGGATTGTTTGTGACTCAAGAATACATCATATCTCATGCAAATTCACTGTATGCCTTATTTCTAATTATGTTTTTTTTTTAATTGCTCAGAGCATCTCAGCATGTAATCCTACAGATTCTGGAAGATAGTAACTTTAAATCCCTTCTAAGATTTAACTCACATTAAAGGTTTCACCTGCTCAGAGTGCTGGATTATTTCTGTTCCTAAGCAGGTGAATCCATCAGGGTTAGCAAGAACAACTTAAGGGCCATTTAAGGAGTTGGAACAGTGGCTTTCAAACATCAGAGCACTAAGAAGTCCTGTAGTGACATGCTAAGATGCTAAACTGTACGTCTCACCTCACCATCAGCATCTACAGAGACCCTAAATCAGCCCAACTACTGGTGGCACAGTGCTTCTGGCATTGTTGGTCCAGGGCACATTCTGAGATCTCTTATCTAGCCTTGGGTCTGTGCTTGCCAACTCTATTCACAAAAAGTTCCTGGCCATCCTCACAGGACAGGACAGACTCCTGCTTCTACCATGAGCCCCCAGCTCCAAGGCTAAGGGCCACGGAGTTATTTTATGGACAATCTTTGATGCATGGAAAGGGTTTAGTTAGAGGTGCCAAGTCTGCAACCACAAGTATGCAGGAAATTTGCACAACCCCAGACAGGGACAGAAGACTGAGCTTCGTGATCCAAGTTACATCAGTGCCAGGTCTGCAGGGTCACTGGGCTGCAGAGATCTTTTTAACAGTGTGTGTGTATGTGTCTGTGTGTGTGTGTGTGTGTGTGTGCATGTATTTGTGTATATGTGTACATGTGTCTGTGTGCTTGTGTATAAGGTGGTATAGACCATCCATCATGCACTCATGGAGGCCAAAGGAAAGTATCCTCCTTTACCACTATACACCTTATTCTTTTGAGGCAGGGTCTCTCCATGAACCTGTACTTTGTATTTTTCAGCTAGACTGGCAGGCGGCAAGCCCCAGCAATCCTCCTGCCTCTGCCCCTCACATCACTTGAGTCACAGGATTCCAAACTCAATTCCTTATCGTTGTGCAAAAACTTTCAATGCACTGAGCCACCTGTTCAGACCATTGTGGGTTTTTTTTTTTTTTTTTTTTTTTTTTTATCATCAAGAAGTAGGTCTTGGTTCAGTTATATGGGGTGAATCATTCATTGAATTAGGTTCTTTATTCAAAACAGTGCCGAAATTTGTGCTTTAGAGCTGGTAGGCCATGGGCATTACATGAGGGTCTTGAAGGTTTTGTGTGGGACTTCTCAGAACTGAGATGTGATGATAGTGTCTTTCTCAGAGTGTGTGTGTGTGTGTGTGTGTGTGAGAGAGAGAGAGAGAGATCGCATGTGTGTATCAGAACAACTTACAGGAATCAAGTCTTTCCTGTCACGTGGGTCTCAGAAATCAAACTCCTGCGGTCAGACTCGGCAGCAAGCACCTTTAACCCACCGAGCCACCTCACTGGCCATGAAAGGCTTTAAAAATATTTATTTTTATTTTATATGTATGGATAATTTTTGCCTGCTTGAATATCTGTGTGCCACCTGCACGCAGTGCCCGAGGAGACCAGAAAAAGGCATCCTCTTCTCTGGAACAGTACAGATGGTACTGCACGTGCTGGGCACCGAACCAAAGAGAATTCTTCCACTGGAAGAGCAGCCAGTGCTCTTACTGGCCCTTCTCACTGGCCTTGAGTTGGCCTTTAAGTGTTTACTCTAGCAAGGCACGGTGGTACATGTCTTTAATCCCAGCACTTGGGAGGCAGAGGCAGGCAGATCTCTCGAGGCCAGCCTAGTCTACAAAGTGAGTACAGGACAGCCAAGGCTGTTACACAGAAAAATCCTGTCTCGAAAAACCAAAAGTGTTTACTTTAGACAAGTCCACTGAGTCTCTGCAAAGGCAGAGCTGTCATCTCCAGGAGGGCAAGGCAGATGTCCAAGGAAAGGCTAGAGCTGTCTGTGTGCGGATGCAGAGAGTCCTGGAGGCAGTCCGAGCGAGGGGCGAGAGCTCACCGGTCTGAAGCTTCAGAGAACAAAGCTTGCTGCTGGAGAAGCGGATTCTGTGGGCTGGAGAGAGAGTTGAGTTCGCCTGTTCTTTTCCAGCAGTGTTATTCACCAATGAGCCTTCCGGACAGGTCTTGCTGAGGGACTGAACGGGGCAGATGGCGAGGGCAGTGGGGCTAGTCTGCTCGGGGTGGCTGTTCTGTCACTCCTTGGTTTTGAAGCTACACTGTGTGGGTACAGGAGACTTTACTCAGCGGTAGAGCATTTGCCTAGCATGCTCCAGAACCTGGGCTACATCCCAGCACCACTAAAATTAATAAAGCTATACTCTCTCTCGAGAACACAGGCCTGAAGTAGCTATGCTTACTGACCTTCCCTTGTCTCCACTTGGATCACGAGACCCAGGATCGGGGGTGTGGTTGGGCTGTAACAGTCTCAGAGGCTCTGTCCCACCAAGATACCTTTTTTTTTCTGTCTTTTCTCCACAGTGGGACCCTGAAGATGTCAACCTTGAAAGGAACAAGGACAACACGGAGCCCTTTAGATCCCAGGTGCACAGGGCCTCCCTGAGCCCAGTGGACCTGACCTCTGATGACTAGCATCCTCAAGAGCCAGTCCATCAGTTCAGAACTGAAGGTCAGGCATCTGCCAGTGACTAGATGGGGACTCACCTACAGTGCCACCCGTGGTAGGAGTGGAAGCCGCTGCAGGAGCCTCCCGGGGAGTGAGGAACCCCGAGATGTTACCTAGCTTGGCTAGTCTACACCATGGCTCAGAATAGAGCTAAGGCTGTGGCACGTGTGGACAGATCTGTACATGCCCAGTTTAATCTAATGATTAGACTCTCACAGATGGAGCCTGTTTGTAAAGATAAGCCTTCTTCCAAATGAAGCGGGATCTACCCATGAGATTCAAGCATAAATATTGTTTGCCAAGAGCAACTATTTGGATCTCAGCAGGATGCACTCTTCAGCACTCAACCAGGTGAAAAGAGTGGGTCCAGCAGCTAGGAGACCTGGGCACATATACAGTAACCGGCTTCTGCCCTCTGGCCACTGATGTACTGACGTAGCCGATGTAGCCGACGCATGTTATATAGGACTGCCTGGTTAACTGATAACATGGACTATCACTGCCAGGGAAAGGGCAACCGCTATCTGATCTTGATAACAGGACTCCCTCCAGCTTGGCAAAGTGTGTGCTGAGGCTGGGTTTGCACATGATGGAGTACTGAGTGTTTTAGCAGGTAACAGAAGGAACGAAGTGGATAAGGGCACAGTGCAAACTGCAATCACAGCATGGCGAGGATATTCGAGAATGATTTTTTAATACTGTGACCATGAGTGAGGAGGAAAGAGTGAAGGCAAAGGGGCCAGGCAGAAGCAAACACTGGAGTGACTCACTTTTGGTTGAATGAATTAAAAATGTCTCATGGTAGCGTCCAGCTGTAAGTCTGAATCCCAGCACAGACAGCTGCCATGAGGGCAACTGGGAGAAATGCCAAGAGACACCACCCAGCTCCCAGCTGGCCCATGACCATCTATGACTCAGCTGCAGCTACCCAGTTTCTCCTGAGGGCCGGTGCAAGTCCCAACAGTGTGAAAAATGGGGTGACGGTGGGAGTTGGTTGGTTGTGCAGGTTTCGGAGTAGTTCCTGATCCCCTGGGTGACCTCTAAACTTTATCTGCTTTGGGTCCTTGGTTCTCTTGCGAGGTGGCTTGCTGAAGTCAGCTTTTTAGTCTTAACCACTGAAACCACTGTGAGGAAAGAGGGCCAAGGGGGATACGGGATGACGTGGAACATTCCAGCCCGGAACACAGAGAACCAGAAGGCAGGGAAGAGTGGACACTAGCCAAGGAAGGAGAAACCTGATGTGGCCAGGATGGCAGCTGTAACGTAGTGTGAAAGGGAAGGAGCTGGAAAAGAACCAGGCCATGGAGAATGAAAACTTAGTGCTGAGTGCTGAGTTCTGTAGCCATGCAGGACACCGAACAGGGAGGTGACTGCCTTGCTCCAGGAGGCTACAGTGAGTGAGTTTCTCTGTAAGTCTGAGGCCAGCCTGGTCTACAAAGGGAGTCCAGGACAGCCAGAGCTCTGCTACACAGTTGGGTGAATGCACAGGACCCTGGCTTCTATCTTTAGTACATGCACAGGACCCTGGCTTCTATCTTTAGTACAGCGTAAAGGAAGGAGAATGACACCTGGAATTGGGAGGTGGGAGCAGCATGATTAGAAGTTCAAGGTCATCTGTCTTTAGCTATATAGTTCAAAGCTCAGTGTGGGATATATGAGATTGTCCCAAGAGGGGTGGGGAGCAAGGAGGGAGGAAGAGAGGGCAAGAGAGAGGATCAGAACAAAACTGTATAGACCCTGAAGAACTAATCCAGTCAGTAGTCACTCCAGAAAGAGGTATGAGGACCATCTGATGATGACAGGCATGTTTGTTGCAATGAGAAATGAATTACTAGTCTAAGGAGGCTCTGGGCCCAGGAGCATGACCAGTCTCTTATTGCCAGGTCTGAGTAAGCGTGCTGTCATTCCTCTTTCTGGGTCAGTTTCCCCATCTATAACAAGAAAAGGCAAGCCTGGTGGCTCACACTTGTTAACCTCACATTTGGGAAGCTGGGACAGGCAGACTTCAAGATCAAGGTCGTCCTGGCTATCAAGACTCTGTCTCAAAAAGCTAACAAACCAGACTGGGTGTGGTGGCATATGCCTTTAATACCAGCACCCAGGAGACGGGGGCAGGAGGAACTTTGTGAGTTCCAGGACAGCCAGGGAAATGCAGAGAGACAAAACAAAACAGCCGCGGAGTTGGGGATATAACTATAGCCCAATGGCAGAACACTTGCCTAGCATGCACGGGCCCTTGGGTTCCATCCCTAGCATGACCAAAAGTTAGACTTCTTCCTCTTTTCTTTCATGAATATGCCAGTCAGCATTTCACACACAAGACTGACATCTTTATAAAAGCTCGGAAAGAGATGTTATATGAAGGTCAGTTTTATATACACCTTGAAAATCTGCTTCAATTTATTTACTGGTTGATTGATCGATGGGTTGATTTTTCAAGACAGGGTTCCTCTGTGTAGCCATGGCTGTCCTGGAACTCTATAGGCCGGGCTGGCCTCGAATGCAGAGATCCTCCTGTCTCCCGAGTGCTGAGATTAAGGGCGTGCTCCACCAACGCCCGGCTTGTTTTTGTTGTTTGTCTTTTAACAATTACTTACCATGTGTATGTTGCAGGCGTGCCAAGGAGCGTGTATGGAGGTCTGAGTGACAATTTGCAGGTGTCAGTTCTATCATGTGGGTTCTGGGAACCGAATCAGGTGTCAGTTTTGGCAGCAAGCAGTTTTACCAGCCCTCCCCACCCTCTAAATGCACAAACACACACGATTTGCTTAAATTTCACTACCCATTTAAGATAAATACTTTAGGGGTAAGACATAGCTGAGCGGCATAGTAAATGCTTAGCATGCGCAGGGAACCAACTTTCTTTTCTAATTAAGTGGGATGGAGATATGCTCTGGTTTCAATCCCCACAGCCGAAGAACGTCTAATCTGCTTTTTCTTTGCCTAAATCTGACAGCCAAACGCGACGCTGGACATTTGGCACTGCCGTTTCAGAGCAGGACACGTTACTAAACTCCTGGGTGACTGCTCCAGTAGCAGAGAACCCTGCAGGCGGCTGCCAGTGTTGGAGGCGGGGACGGGGCATTTATTCCTATTCTGTGTAGGGTCTGGCTGAGGGGCCCGGCCTCTCCCCCGCGCGTCGCTGCCCTCTCTTTTGACTCCGAGGTTCACCCTCGACTGCCCTCGGGGGACAGCAGGAGTGCCCTCCAGCAGCGGGGCCGCACCAAGACCGGAGCACGTCAAGAGAACAACTCCAATTGGAACCATTTACCTCACCTCGGAGCACTTCCGGGAAGGAAAGCGCCGGGAAGCCGGCGCATGCGCACCATGCTGTCGCCGCTTCAGAGCAGCGCAGGCTCCGCCCAGTGGACCCCTAGTTAGGACCCAGGGGCTCCTAGCCTTGTCTGCCTGGGCCCTTGGCTGCCTTCAGTGTGTCCCCACTGAGTTTTAAAAAGATAGTTATTAGGCTGTTCTCCCGAGTATTCGAGACTGACACTAGCCTGAAGCTGTACTGCAAACCAGTCAACTTAAAAAAAAAAAGCGCAGGTGCATGATTTAACAAAAGAAAATCAGATCCTGCCAAAGTTTATAAGGAAAACAGCAGCACTCCGTCCTCATGTCCCTAACGGCCCCACTTTCAGCTTCCTTTGGGTATTTTGTTTCGCCGCCAGCAACAGACACCCGTGTCTTTGCACAATGTCAAAAGTTATTAACAGCAAATACTTCCAGTAAATACTTGGAAGTCTAGATTGCTCTAGATAGCAGACCATTTGCAAACACAAGCTCTTTTATCTTGATCTTTTTTGCTAATACTCTCAGATCACACAAAGCACATCACCACGTCATTGTGTGTCTATTGTTTACCCGGGTTTCACAATAGCTACAAAGGTATGAAAAGGGCGTCAGAGTCAGGTTTTACTGGAGGCAGAGGCAGATGCAGAGAGCTGTACAGATGCAGCTACAGCAGGTGACTAATGAACACTGTCTCAGCACTGTGCTAGAGACAGAGAGCCAGGCTACAGGGTCACCAAGCCCAGCCACATTGCAAAGGCTCAGAACATGTAGGAGCTGCTTTAGACAGGTGGCAATTCCAAGGAGTGGAGACTGAGCTGATCGGAAACCCAGGGGACAGCAGAGAAGTGGGTGGCAGCTGGGTAGTGCATGCCTTTAATCCCAGCACTCAGGAGGCAGAGGCTGATGAGTTCGAGGGCAGAGAAATCGTGTGTGTGTGTGTGTGTGTGTGTGTGTGTGTGTGTGTGTGTGTGTGTCCTAGTAGGGGGATCATTGTGTGTTTTAAAAGTTATTGGGCCTGGTTTTACTGACAAAGATTTAATCACACCCACGTGATCTTATGTTCCCAATTTACTTTGAAAATTTGTAAGTGGTGCATTTTTACTTTTAGGCATAAGTTCTTGTTAAGTATGTGCCTTATGGGTACAACAAGGTACAGTCACCCTGTCTCTGCCTGTGCACTCAGAATCGAGCTGAATTGTTGAGGCCTGCTCCTGGTGGGTAGCATAACTATAGCTGTTTCTACTTCAGGCCTATCAGCCATAATATCTCAGCATGTTGCTGATCTAGGGGAAAGCTCCATACGAAAGGTCAGGTTGACCAAAAACTATGCTTATGTTCAGCAGACTCTGTGGCCTTGCTACTCCCAGGATTTCCCCAACCATAAGCGAAGCTGGCCCTAACTATAAACTCCACTTGGTACCAATCAAATCAAATGTCAGCCAGAACTGCTTTGTCTAACTAACAAAAATAACTTGAGTCAGAAGCAACTACCCTGTTACACTCTCCTGTTCCTGCCCAGACTCACCATGAACTAATTGCAGTGCTTACCTTTACACGCTAACTCTGAAAAACACTTAATGTCACAGTTTGGCACCTGTGTCCACTCTGTGTCCCTGATCATGATCAGTGTTGGGATCATGGACTATGAGTTCAATAAACCACCCATGTCTTACTGAGAATCGTGTCTGAGTGGTTTGTGCAGCTTCCTCTGGACCCTGAGCACAAATGATGCTTGAAAAACGGAGTTGCACAAGGCAAGGCACAGTCTGAAAGCTGCTGTTTCTCACACCATGGAGTGACCTAGAGCAGGACACAGCATGGTCTCCACTCTTGTACCTAGCTTCATCCCCAGCCCTCAACCTGCTTTCCAGCTACAAGTGCCAAGATTCAGTTTCCTAGCTAGGTTATCCCCAGCTTCCCTTAAGCACA